GGGGGGGGGGGGGAGTTCTCTGATTGGTTCATATTCATTCACATATCTTAAGACTTTACATAAAATAATCCTAAATATAAGATCCGACTGTGATCGCGCTTAATCTCCAATGTTTAGTGCGACGCGAACTTTATTTGTACATGCAATTATTTCAAAAGATGCAACAGAAGGGGTGAGTGGGTGATAAGGTGGACATCCGCAGCATCCGCGAGTGGGGAAGGAGAGAAATCGGGTGGGTGTCCGTGTGGGTCGATTCGTCGTGGCGCTTCAACGTGAAAGGGTGGAGGGCGTCCGCATCGCGAGGATGCCGGGGAGAGAAAACGAGAAAGAGCAGGTTCCAAGGACGTACGTCGGCCAGTAACGAGTCGGGGGACGCGAGCGTCGCGTTGCAGGCGTCGCCCTGGGCACCGCCGTCCAAGAGCAGATGGAGTCGACCCGCGTGCCCCGGGGTCCTGCTTCGCGCCTCGTCTTTCTCTTTGTTACCCTCGTGCTGACCGTCGCAGGTAAAGAGACGAGGAGACCGGCACCGCGTTCCGGAAGAGACTGACGTCTCAAACCGAGAAGTGTAAAGACCAACACAGTCTCTCTATATTGATATATGTATATATACAATATATATTTTTTTTTATAAAGAAGCTGGTGCGGAAGATGTATCTCATCAGAAAGTATTGAACAAAATTGTTCTAAATTATTCGACTTTGATTTGAATCCGAAGAAACTTTTCAATCCTCCCGCCTCCTTCTCTTTAGAGAGAAAACTTTTATTATGGACCGGGATTTAATAGAAAAATAAGCAATTCAATAACTACATTTTTCTTTATCATTTCTCAGCAACGGGGCTCCTATGCAGTGCAATAATGTCGGACCACTGGGAAGAAATCAACTGGGACAGGGAAGATCTGATCCACGCGAACGTAAACCTCACGTGGTATCTGAACGGTCAAGTGGCAAGGCTCGAGTCTTCCGTTAATCATCGAAATAAACATCGTGTCACCAAAAGTTCAGCCTTCTTAGTACCTATGCACGGCGGCATTTGGATTATGTGTGTTTCATTGTCAGGTATAAACTGTCGTGATTTTTATAATGTTAAACTTAGACCTAGAACTGCACATATATCTTTTGTACACGCTTCGGGATTTAAATATATTTTTACGATTATGAATGCGGAATACCATGATATTTCCAGCTTATTCCACGGCGTATTCAACTTACAAATTATCATTGCGGATTTTTTCAAAACACAAAAATATATTTTTTCAGTTGTGGAAATTTTAATCATAATATTAAAACTAATAAATATTGTTATTGTTAAAGACGCCGATGATGATAAAGAAGAGATAATTGATGAAGAGAAATGCAAGTCAAAAGAAATTTTCTTTATAAAGATAAATAAAAATTATTCGCGATTATTTATGGATATACAACATTAAAACATGACATTCTATTTAATGTCCAGATCTTATTATGATATGGATACAATCAACTTCATATTTTCTCATTCATGCCAATAGAAACATTATCGGCATACAAATGAAGTTTAGCTCTAATATAATGGTGTTGCTCAATTGCCATAAAAGCAAGGATCACGGTCACGCGATCGTAAGGATACTGTGCTTAAATTGTGCGATTCGACGGTTCGATATCTCCGGCCGGCCAGAGTCAAGGTGGCACCTAAATATAGTCACGTGCACGTGCAATATAGACAAAGTAATATCTGACAAAATTCCAGAGTAAGATATTTATTGCATTGCCACAAAACACGATAAGTATCATTTCTTCGTCAATTTTTCTTTGAAGACATTATTCTTCATTAAAGTATAATGAAAACTGACTTCAAATAGATCTCGAAGTCCGCAGAACTAAAAAATACTCAATATCTAGAAACACGATTGATAAGAAAAGTACCCATTTAATGAAAGTATTTACGTTAAAGTATTTACGATCTAATACAACTGTATGGGCTCGATATACCACTTTTCGTTTAATCGAACGGGTGCAACCTTGAAGAGTACTTGAAGAATTCGGGGTCATAATTGTCTCATTTAGTTATTTTTGCCGGAATTACGTTCATAGGATCTGAACACGCTAAGCACTGCCTAGTACTGCTTGCACCACCTTTGCACATGACATTTACATCCAGCCAAGTATTAAAACTTCCTACAGTTAAATCTATCAAATCAAAGAATATATCAAAAGTATGATAATGTACATGGTATTTATGGTTTGACAATTTAATTTCTCAATCGAAAGATAACTTTTGAAAATGGAATCTGGAAGAGCCGAAGTTTTAATAAATTTTCTCAATAGCATTTAAATTAAAAAATTCTAATCCTATTTTCTGACGATGATTTTGAACGATTTCAAAAATTGAAAATAACTATATAATTATCAAATATAATTTTACTTATTTAAATGAAAAAAATAAAGATTATTATCAATAAAATTATCAATAAATCATGTTTGTTGTTCCAGAGGAAGAGATACAATTGTTAGGTCAAGTGGGTTTCCCGCAAAAAAGATGCGTCAATTACTTAACACCAAGCGAGGCGCACATAGAAGCGCGTGGAGCTTGGCAAAATCGTAAGTAAATTTTACATAAACATTTAATCGAAGTGCAACAAACTTTAGTCTATAATAAATTGTTTTATTCTTCGATAAAATATTGCTATATTTCTTATAAATATTTATCATGAATTTCATTAATTGATCATTTTAATAATCTGTTTCAGGAATGCAAAATCTGAGTATCTCATGCTCTCTGGTATGTTTAATCATCTTAGGATGCGCTGCACTTATAGGATTTTTTGGACTATGCAGACATCAGATATCAGCCGTGCTCGTGACAGGAGTTATGTACCTTCTTGCAGGTAAAATTATCTATTAATCACTTGGTAAACTAGTCTAGATCATAATTTCAAATATGATATTAGAATAAAGGAAAATATACTTATAAACTTAATTATTGTATGTATAGCGCAGCCATTAAAGTATGGTAACTAAGCTGGGAATCACTCTATTTCATTCTAGCGACATTCGCGCTGTTCACGCTTACGATCATTCACTTCAAGAGAGTTCAGGATCGCGGGACCAAATCAATAGAGGATGGCGTGATCGGTATGCCTGTTCTTCGCAGCATTCTCAAGGCCAGGAGAGTTACTACCGCATGGAGCATGGACCTAGGATGGGGTGGAGTCACTCTTTGTGCTCTCGCATCGGTAGCCTGGATTCTTCTCAGTAAAATCATGCGTTTCAGCCCGATCGCTGCCATGATAGCGTAGCAGTGGGACGCCTTCGAGGTCTAAGGTCATTTCTGAGAGTTTCGAAGTTTTACGATTTCGATGTTCAGCGTTCCTTTCAGATGACATCTTGACATTCTTTTTGTGTATCAAGTTGGCGTAAGAGATTTGTTTCACAATCGAGTTGTGCTATAATCTAAGAAACACGACAGATATTTTTCAAAATAGCAGTTTTATTTTTAATTTTCTTTAACAAATGCAACAAACTGTTTGCATCAACTTAATAATCTCGAGTGTTTATCTCCTGCTAAAATATAGATTTCAAAAGAATGAATTTCCAAGATTTGGGATAATCATATTTATAGGAATTGAAATCTCCTGAAACCTTGAAAAGGATCGCAAACTACAATGGGAAACGACTACAAGATAATACTTCTTGAGAAAATTGAATCCAGAAATAACCTTCTCGAAGGCGACTATTTCATGTGCCTATTTTATATAATTAATGTCGTTTACATAAATATTCGTTATTTCAATCGAAAAAACTTAAATTTCTTAAGAAGATTAAAAGTTTTAAAGCACACTTGATTGATCGACGCTTTGTAGAATCAGTGAATGCATTTAATAATTTATATTCTTTTGCATTCGATTTATTTGCTGCAAGTAATTAAATAAGCTCGCTAAGAAAATAAAGCCTGAGATGCAATGAAAAGCAGAGACAATAAAAACAAGTAATTATGGTGGAATTAAACCATGGTGGAATTCCATCATGCAGGCGACAACAGAGCTCAACTTATCAGAAGTTCATGTATTCTGATATACATAGTTCTGGATAAACTAGAATCTGTTATTCACTATTTCTATTATCTGTGCTTTTCGATTGTGTCTCAAGCTTAAAAGACAAATAAACAAGCCTATAATAAGTACTCATAATATAAAAAAGCAAGATGTCATGATATAAAAAGACAAACATTCTTACTCATTTTTTTTGACTGACATTCTTGTCGATTCAAGTAATCCTGGGGAAAATAAAAATCGGAGCACAAACTGAATGTAAAAGAAGAGTAGAGCCGGAAATGCAATGAAAAGCACAGGCAATAGGAAAAGAAAAAGACTTCTCAGAAAAAAGATCTATCATAAAGCGTCTATTCTAATGTGAGTCTAATCTTACATGGTTTTTGTAGGTTGAAAATTGTTATTTTCTGTCCTTATTGTCTATGCTTTTTATTTGTTTCTAACTTAAAAGTGCAAACAAAAAACTCTTCTACGAAAAGTAAATTGGAATAGTCAAACGTAAAAAAAGCGTTTTTTGTTTCATTTTAAGTAAACGCTTCTCGCTGTGTCTTATGCTTCTTAGAAACATTAACGCTTCTAATACACTTCCTTTACATTCGGTTTGTGCTCCGAGTTTTATTTTCGCCGAGGAAATGACTCAGGAATTAGTCTCAAATATGCTACAAAAATATAGCGAATAATATTTATTATAAATGTTATAGACTAGAATTAGATTAGTTTTTGAAACTCGAGATTCAGTTTTTATTAATATATTTATATAAATATTGCGATGCTGAATATTCGCGTAAATATTCGCTGATCAATTTGTACGTTGCAAACTTCTGAAAAAATAGAATGTAAAAACAATTTTCTGATATCTGGAGACACTGTAGTGTCTCGGCGCTAAGCCAAACGCAGCGACACTGCCGTGGCTACTTTACGCGAGCCAGCGAGTTGCGGCAGATTGAGATATAGTTGCCTATAATGTAATCCAAACGCCTTACTATTAGAACAATAAGCACGTTCATAAAGTGTAAAATAAAAATGTTAATGGTATACAGGAGTGAGGTAAATAAAGTTGCTACATATACATATTAATTTCTCCTAGAAAAGAAATAATATAAGTGTTGAATGTCCCTTTCAGGAATTATGCAATTATTAATTCTCTCGAGGCTTCCATTGACATTTTCTATACAAAAATTATGCGTTTTGCAAATCATTTCCATGTCCAAAAAATGTCAACGTTTTGTGAACATTCCAGTTTACCTCATCAAGGCAAGGAGCAATGATATTAGTATTCACGTTCTAAGAATGGATTTGAACATGGAGATAATCTGTGAAACACAATTTCTGCAAACAATTGTTAATTCATATATACTTTATTCTACAATTTCAATATTTCAAGAAATTAATTTGTAAGCTTTAAACATCTCAACCTGTATACAACCTTTTTCAACGAAAAAGAGCTTGTTTTTGCTAATTATTCTAGCGATTATATAGGCGAAGTAATTACGCATAGTATATATAACCTGCATAAAAGGATCCTGCATTTCGTCCATTAAAAGTTAAGATTCCTTATCACTCGGCGCTTTTGTGAAAAACATCACATTTTTCTAATGACACATTCTCAATTGTTGTATTTTTTTACGCGATCTTTGTTGTTTGTTATATTGAAACTGACAACAATAAAAATACTGCAAGAAATAATTGTATTTAACATTGTATATAATATATTAAAGTTTATTCATATTTTACCTTCAGTATTTTTAAAATTTTAGTACGTTTTTTTTTGTTGTATGAAACATTAGTATGAAAATCTCGATTTTATCATTATATAGAAAAGATGTTTTTTTACATGATTATTTAATTTCTATCAAAAATTGAATGGTTTATTAAAAGTTAAATATTAATATTTTTAATTAAAATATCATTAGACATTATACAAATAAACACGAAAATAAATTGTAAGTATTTAAATTTTTTAAAAATAAAAATATACCTGTGCAAGAATACTTTTCGAGTTTTAATTTTAATTTTGATACAGAAAATTCATCATTTTAGCAAAGTAGAAAAATTTTTGTAGCTCCAAAATTCATCATGAAGAAACCCGTAAAAAAAATTATAATAACTAATAACTTTATTGAAATAATTTGTTGTTTCGTTATAATTCCGCGCGTTTACTCTATCAATATAACAGCTCTACCGACATAACCTTAAAAAAATGACCCTTTCACAACGGTTTACTATCAAAAGATGATATTCTCTATTATTTTCCTCGATTGTAAAGAACCCTTTTTCTGTATGAATATCAAAGAACACGTTCGACATTCAATATTATATCTTCGGCTCTCTCTCTCTCTCTCTCTCTTTAAATCTTTTTGCTTTTCTTTTCAATCTCGAGGTACTTTTTTATGTTAAGTGCAAACAGTGTAACAAGGTGTACTCCATAGTTTCTATTTACCACATTGTATCCAAACGTAGTATATAGTCATAAATAGGGTTAATGCAAATAAAAACAGGATATTCTCCCCATCTCCCTCATTAATTATCTCCACACCAACGAATTCCGGGAGATATTTAAATTATCGAGAAGAAAAATGAACAAGATTTTGATGCTAGCCTATCTGGTCACATTGATGCGATCACAAAGAGAAGTATTTTTTTCAGCGAAATGTTTATCATGTTGTGGGCACGTACCTTGATCAATATCTCAAAATAATGCTACTATCGGAGAGTCAAATGTCTTCGAGTTCACGAAACGCAGGAAACGTTCGATGGTACAAAGTGAACAATTTCCGTTAATACACGCGCAAACTGCGTAACCGGTACGCGGGCAAACTTTACGAGAACTCAGAATATGATCATCGATAACGAATGCTTACAGAGATGGTCGAGCTCATGGTAGAAATTAGAGTCAGAATCGGAAAGGTAAAGGCACACAAAAAACTTAAGGCAATCCTATAATAAGGGCGAATTCACACCTCAACGGAAAAGCGGAAGAGCAGTAGACACTCTATCTAGGTATCTTTATGAAACTTTTTCCCTAGAATGGAAAGTGAAAAGCAGGGTATCGATCACGAAACTTTTTCCTTAGGTCTGTTTTCTGTGGCTGAACTACTTTTAGAACTTAAAGTGAGATAGGTATATGTTTGATATTTGTAGAAAGCGAGAAAGAGAGTTCTAGTTCAGTCTAGTGCAGGGGGTCAATCACGTACCTTTTCCCCTAGGGCGGAAACGTGAAAAGTGAAAATTTTTTGCATGTATGTGTGTATATGTTCATACATACATTCATAAAAGTTTTCACTTTTCACGTTTCCGCCCTAGAGAAAAAGTTACGTGATTGACTCCCAGGAACAGAAAACAGACCACTTTAGAATGAAAAATGAAAAGTGAAAAATTTCTCCATTAACTTCAATGATAAAAATTTTCACTTTTCATCCTAGGAATAAATTTCATGGTTATACCATGATCGATACCCAGCAGAAAAGCAACTTTGCAACTGCGTAAAATTTTTCAATATGATTGGTCTTGCTCCTAGTTCCTCACTGGATCTAAATGTATAAACCAATCATAATCAAGAATTTTACAACCGTAGCAGATCTGCTTTTTCTGCTGAACGCAGTTATTTTTTGATAATCAGTTGGTACATGGTCGTTTTCTATGGTATGGTCGAACATGTTCGATCCTTTCTACTCGTTGACTAGATGAGTCGAGTAGACGCAATCTGGTTAGGTTTGCGTCTCATGCGTGAAAAATAATTGGAAGGATACGAGATGGTAAGATAGTTGATTTTACATATGCAAATGCAAATCGCGGTTTTTCTTTCTGTCGATTTTGTATGATCGCCCTTTTAATTTTCTCGAGAATGATCACGCTCGTCCGCGCTATATCCGATTGTCGTTGCCAATCATCTCGGGCACACCATCTGTAATATCTTACGAATATATTCGAATTAATTTAGACATCGTTCTTCGATAACAGGTGAGACAAAATTTTTTTCATTATCGCGATAATAATTACAAGAATATGAGGATCCAAAGTTTATCAGCACGTAACTACATTCCTCGGTAACATGTGCACGTGTCGAGACATCATGTCCGGTCCGCCATTGCGATATGCGGTTATCGTGTGTGGAGCACGAATGTACAGTCTTCGTAAATCCTTGAACAATAATTGGGAAATCGAATATATCTTGAAAGGAAGTGAAAATTACAAAAATAAGCGGATTCACTATACTCTAAAAAATTATTTCTTAATTTGACATCATGTGGTCTTTATAATTCTGATTGTGTTGGTGTTAATATTTACTTTAATATAAAGTGGATTTGATATCATAAATTTTAAATTTATATTCGTCTTAATTTTAAATGAGATAAAAATCACAAAAGTGAGCGAATTTATTAGATATTTATAACTTCATTCATTAATGTCTATATTTTGAACATATATGCAGATTTAGCACAATGTAGTATCTATATCATTTTCACTGTCGATGTATGTATGTGGTTAATATTAACATTTTTTATTTATCTATACTGATATTTTTTTAGTATGTAAATATTGAAGTTAAAAATATTCTAATAAAACTTTATATTTTTTTTACTTTTAAGATATATCGTGAATCCAATAAAAAAAATTATGTTACAAACAAATGCAGTTTTAATGGAAGAGAATTTTGATACATATATATTTAATTATATTGTTATGTAACATTTTCTCTTTTTTTTTTAGTCGTTATCAACGGCGAGACCACTTATTACGGTCTACACTGACAAGAATGAAGCATCAGGTGATACAATTTCTCTACCATCTGTCTTCAAGGCACCAATTCGTCCTGATATTGTAAATGTTGTCCACCAATTGATTGCAACAAACAAAAGACAACCGTATTGTGTTTCTAAAGAAGCTGGTAAATATTAATGACTGTGTTTAACAGATAAAATAGTTTAACAATTGTTGTAAAATATTTTAACATAATTGATTAAACATTTAGATCCAGTAAGGATTCAAGGATCAATGATGTCAAAGAATCTTTTAACAATTGCATAACTGCTCTTTATTTTATTAATTTTATTGCATGATAATTATTATTATGATGATTATTACAATATTTGAGTAATAAATAAGCATAAAAAGATAATAAAAGTTTTTGTTTTTCATAGGTCATCAAACTTCTGCTGAATCATGGGGTACTGGACGTGCTGTAGCTCGTATACCTCGTGTACGCGGTGGTGGTACCCACCGTTCTGGTCAGGGTGCTTTTGGCAACATGTGCCGAGGCGGACGTATGTTTGCACCTACTAAGCCGTGGCGACGTTGGCATCATCGTGTCAATGTAAATCAAAAGCGTTACGCTCTCGTTTCTGCCATCGCTGCTTCTGGTGTTCCTGCACTCGTCCAATCTAAAGGTACTTTATGGAGATAACATTTTTTATTAAAAGAAACGAGATATTTGTAAAATTTGAAAAAATTACAAAGTTATAATTGTATCATGTTCTGATATATTTAAAAATAATTTAGATATTTTTGAATTTTTTTTAATTTTCTAAAAGACAGACTGTGGATATACTTCATGTATTTTCATACTTGTATCTAGGGCATATGATTCAGGAGGTTCCGGAATTCCCGCTGGTTGTTTCTGATAAGATTCAAGAATACACGAAAACTAAGCAGGCTGTTATCTTTTTGAGACGTATCAAGGCTTGGAATGATATCCAAAAGGTTTCAATTTCTTTTAGTTTTAAAGATTCTTTTGTGTCACTCTTATGTCGTGTCCATGTGCACCAAATAATGTCCGCATCTTTACTAAGCAAAATTTAGTTTAGATGCTCCTAATAGGTGCTAGAGAAATATGGTATTCAGGCGTTCTTTACTAGTTGATTTGCGCTTACTAGCAAGGGGTATGAATCACCAAACAATTTTTCCTGTACTTTTTGTGTTTTGACTAAAAAAAAAGGCTTAGACCGCTCCAGTAGTGGAAGCCGGGACGGAACGCCAAAAATTACGTGATATTCTTCGCAATATATTAGAATAAATTATCAGAGTTATTTAGATTTGTAATTGTAATTTGACTCTTACTTCGCCCTTGTTTAACTTAATTGATTATTATTAAGAAGCTTATTCTGTAAATACCGATCTACAATTGCGTAAACATAGTTATAGTTGTAAGAATTGATCGGTTATGGTTATAACAAAATATATGAAAAGTATATGAAAAGAATATTCAATTGTGACTGAAGAATTCTTACAACTACGTTTACTCAATTGTAGATCAGGTTTTACTCTTAACTATAATAATATTGCAATTACAGTCAGTGAAAGCTACAAACTAGGTCTTTAGAATTTTTATTTCTTGTAGGAGAGGCTGATTTCTTCACTTCCAAATAAGTTGTTTGCGGATAACTTTATCCAGGAGATATCTCTATTGTATTCTGGGAGACATCTCCTAGATAAAGATATCTAGAGATGAAAAAATTAGGCATTAATTAAGTTCGTGTGATTTAAATTGTAGGTATCTTTAAATTTTGAACTAAAATTTAATTAATTAATTTTTTACTAGGTGTATAAATCTCAACGTTTTCGTGCTGGTAAAGGTAAAATGCGTAATCGCCGACGCATTCAGCGACGTGGACCTCTGATTGTATATGGTCAAGATCAGGTAAGCAATTTTCTTTTAAAGTAGTTTTCTCTCTATTATCTGGTGATTCAATCTGTAAATAGAACTCGAGTTAAAATAAATTTTATTCACATATATATGCGAACTTAATCATTAAGCTTGTGGGAATTGTAAAAAATTGTTATATAAATTACATTATTATAATTTCTAGGGCATCCGTAAAGCATTCCGCAACATCCCTGGTATCTCTCTGATGAACATCAACAAAATGAATCTGTTGAAGTTGGCACCTGGCGGTCATGTCGGACGCTTTGTAATCTGGACGAAGTCTGCTTTTGAGCAATTGGATGCTCTTTTCGGAACCTGGCGTAAAGAGTCACAACTTAAGAAAGGATATAATTTGCCATTCCCTAAAATGGCCAATACAGATTTATCCAGACTTCTGAAGTCTGAGGAAATTCGCAAAGTCTTGAGAGCACCTAGGTAATTATAGGCGAAGACAAAAAGATTATATATATATATATATCAAAAATTTGTAAATATATTATACTTTTTTTATTTAATATAGCACACTAGAATGCTATTGCCAAAATTCCATTCTATCTTATCATTCATGATAGATAATATGACTGATATATTTTATTTAATGCAATTATAGGAAGAAGGTGGTGCGTAGAGTAAAGAAACTGAACCCGTTGGCCAACACACGGGCTATGCTACGTCTCAACCCGTATGCTGCAGTTCTGAAACGCGCTGCCATCTTGACTGCGCAAAAACGTCAGCGTGAAAAGGATTTACTTCTCGCTGAAAAACGAGGCGTATGTACTATACTAATTGTGACTTTTAATTTATTATATATACTTTGAAACTATGCAGTTGGAAGAATTGCAAAATTTAAATAGTTTGTATTTAAAATTTTAACTTATCGATCAATTTATGGTTATTGCAGATAAAATTGTCAAAGAAACCGTCGACGACGAAGACCGTCGCACTTTTGAAAAGAAGGAAAGAGCAACTGACTAAATACAAGGCCACTGTGAAAAAGACCACGAAAGCTAAAGCTGACAAAGATACTACAAAAACCGCTGCGCCTACCAAGCAGCCAACTAAAAAGTAAACAACAAGCGTTGCTAACGTCAACACTGTTGTGACTCATAATTTTACCACTGTCTTTAAATAAAAGGCGAAAAATTATAACTAATTGTCTTTTAATCTTTCCTGATTGTTAATTTTATAAGAAATCTATGCTTATAATAAATCTATTTATTGTAAGGCGCATTTAATATGCACAGCATTATCTACATTTAGAATAATATAAAAAATTAATTGATTGATATTATTAAACTTACTCGAGATAGATTCCATTTTGTGCCATTTTTTTGTTTTTCTTTAATTTAGAAATTTTTTAATGTAAATAAAAAAATGCTAAATACGGTCGAGACTAGATATCGGTGTCACTTCTATATGTTTTAATACATTTTCTAGATCTTTAAACTGTAGAATTTTATTTTGTTACGTGTGTTGTAATTTGAAGTTTCCGGTGATAATTTGACAACGCATTACAATTATAAATCTATTTCTTTTAGTTTTTTTTTACATTTAAATTAATTTTCTGTTTATACAAATAACCCAGAGCAGCTGAAAGGAAACAGAGAGAAAGAGGAAATTAGAGTAAGTGAGATAGAAGTTTAGATGGGAAACTTATCCATTTCGCGCATGCGCATCCTATTTTATACTTCACTAAAGTTGACTTTTCATGCGCAGTACGCTGCAACAGCGAAATGTTATTATTGGTTAAAAATCTTTTGTGGAGTGACGCACTGTGACGCACTTCCAATCAGTTCTCGAAAATTTGTATCACGTGACATTTTGCTGCCGCAGCGTGCTGCACATGAAAAATCAGCTTAACATCAAGGTAACGACAGAGAGTTGCGCTACTGTATATACTGTGCTTCCGTTTTCCGTTTGCTCCTTCATTAGGTTCTGTTCATAGTTTCATTGTTTCATAACATACCACGTGGCGGAGTTCTGAAGAACCACTCGACTGTACGGTCGCGTTTCGGGTAATCGTTATTGTATATTTTTGAAAATGTTTCCGACTTTGACTGAGCCCCTACAAATTCAATTTTAAGACGTGATCTGGCCGTATCGTTTTCCTTTTTTGTTGTTTGGAGGCGGGAGCCATAAGTTAAAAAAGGAGAAGAAGAAGAATACCACGTGGCGGTTTACTTTCATTCAGATAAAAAAGTGCTTGTCAGTCATCCACTCTTTAGAAAAATTAACTCACTGGTAAAATTAACAGTATAAAATAATTATTTTTATCGAAGATGTAGCTAATATTTTCAGAAAAAAACTATATACGTGTTCACATTAACTCCACTTTCGCTTTCAGATTAGGCTTTTTAGCGTCATTCGATCTGCATGTTAAAAATATTATAAAAATAAAAGCATATGAGATATTTTGCATTTTTATTCGGATATATTCTATCATAAAATATTTTATAAGCATGCATTTTTTATTTTTCGTTTTTACGCAAATATGATGAATAAAATCAATATAAAATTGTATTATTTAATTAATGATTAAAAAAATTTGTTTAATTATATTTGTGCATTCTAAGAAAAAAATAAGGTCCCTGGTAAATACTAATTAACAACAATATTATATGAATATAATTTTCTCTCTTTCTCTCCCCTCTCTCTTTGTTTCGCACCACTTACAATATAAGTGGAATATATTAGGTGTACAAATTAGTTAGGCCGTTTTTTGTGTTAAAAAATGCATTTATTTTAAAACAAAATGAATGAACACATTAATTAAAGTATTGTCCATTGCTGGCTACTACTTTTTCCCATCTCTCAGGCAATTTTCGAATTCCATCTCGAAAAAATGACTCTTCTTTGGAGGCGATCATCTTTTGGAAAACGGACCGAACTAACTTGTACTCCCATAACACATAAGTTACATTATTAAGTAGGAAATTATAAATTGTGTTATATTAGTGTTAATTGATGTTTATTGGATCCTTAATTAAAATTCTATTTAATTTTTTTACAAAATTTTATATTGCTATATGGATACATTATTTATAGTGATAACAATGGATTCTTGCAAAAAGTGGCATTTTACATTAAAAGAGGAAAAAAGATTAAGGCTGAAAAGAAAAGAATGGCGCATCCAACAACAGCATTATAGAGAACATGAGAAACATAAGTCAAGAATGATTAAAGATTTTGAAAGAAGGAGAGAAGCTGAACTAATAAAAAACTCTGACAAAGAATCTTTACAGCAAAGAAACAGCAGTAATCCACAACGAAGAGAAATTAGTTTCCCTGACCATAAGCATTCTAAAGAGTAATAATAGAATATATAGAAATTTTAAATTACAAATTAAATGTTGATCTCATTAAATAATATATTTGAATAATATTGCAAAAAAGTAATAATTTTCGTAATTTGTAAATATAAGTAATATTAGAAATATAATATAAAATATATTAATGTATAATTATGATTTGAACGTAATTTTAATGTTTTCCTTAAACTTATTCTTACTTTTTAATGAAAAAAGAATATCTTAGAATTGATATACTGTTTTTGAAATAATTTTCTTAGACGGAAAACTGTTAACAGTCCAGAAGGCACAATTAAACAGGAAGATCTACATAAAATTAAAATATCTATACATGGAAACAATCTTTCGACAAATCATTCTTCAAATAACATCGAATGGGGTATAGATCCAAATGATGTAATTCTTCCGAGAAGACAAAGTATAGTATTATAATCAGCTTTGTAATATTTATATGTTTAATGTTTTTATCATGGAAAAAAATTCGTTACTATAAGTATTATATAGTCAAATTAAATATTTTCAACATAATGAAGAGCAATTTCAACAAAGTGAAGAATTTCCATTTTATCAATGAAGATTACTTTTACAATCTATAAAATATAAATACAATAAATTTAAAAAATTAATTGTAGATGAAGGTACATGCCCAATATTCAAAGGTACTGAAATAAAAAAATTTGAAGAGATACGGAAAATCACTTTTTTACAAGATAAGCAATTGGGTAATTATATACTTATTTAAAAAATAATTTATTTAATGCATCAATTTAGTATTAGAAGTATAAATAAGTTTCCGCCGTTTTTTTATCAAAAATTGAGCATTTATTGTGAAAGAACGATACCTTTTATTCGAAGTATAGTAAGTATACAAACTCATATTCTTTACAATTTAACATTTTTTTATATCTGTAAAATAAAATTATACATGTATATCTGAATTATAAAACACAAATTAAATGTAACTGAGAAGACTGAAAGAATATATTTGGACTTTGGTTTCAGAAAAAGAATTATCAACAAGTAAGAAGAATGCTTCCACAAGCAGAAGTCCTGTTAATAATATAATTCATCAAGATTGGTAAGTATTGATTATATATTAGAGATTTATAAATATATTATATATAGATATACTATATTATAGTATATATAAATACAATATATTGAGTATTGTTTATACATATATACATACATATAAATGTATGTATATAGAAATTTTTAATACATTGGACTCTGAAGTTTAGTTTATAAAATTATTTTTTCAATTTATAATTAAATTTACAATTTTATGAAATTGTTGAAGCAGCCATTATATCAATGAGTCCTTCAAATTGTTATCTAAATGATTAATTTCATGTATATCCATGTATGAATTATGAATATATAGAGTGTTCCATAATTTTTAATTAATATTTCTAGGAGTTAAAAGATACAATTTTGAATTAAAAGTTTTTTTTCCAATTTTGCATCAGGCTATTATTTACTAAATTATAAATGATTAAAGTTGATCAATCAGATTGATTTAATATGAAAAATTATAATAAAATTTTAATCAGGAAAATGTACATGCATAAGAGTGAAAAGCCCCTTGACATGCTGCTTTTCTACGTATTCCGGCTGGACACAATCTAATTAATCAACTTTAATCGTTAATAACTCGGCAAATAATGATCTGACATGAGTCAAAATTGAGAAAGGAACTTTCAAAAAGGAACATTTCAAAATTTCATCCTTTTTCACTCCCAAAAATATTAATTAAGAGTTAAGGGACACCCTGTATACAAGGTATATTGAGTATTGCTTCCTATACAGCATAGCTAGAGTTTATAATATTGTTACATACAATATTGTTGGATTGATCTATACTGTATGATTGAAAAGAACTTCGTATAAGTCGAAACGTTTCATATTTAATTTTAATATTAATTTTAATTTTAATTTTTAATGTATAGAATTTAATAAATATTGTCAATTTAATTCCGCTTGTTTTATACCGTTAATTTAATATCGTAATTTGTTATTTATAAAACGTACACACGAACACGTATATGCACATTACATATATATACACATGTACCATATATACTAAATTAAATTTATGTGGATGTATGTCCACTATGTTGAGTATTGCTTGTATGCACTTATGCTTGCACTTTACATAAATGAAATGAAGAAAGAAAAAAAATGATAAAACTAAAAATATATATGTATAAAATCATTTTTTATAGAATAATTTTTCAATTAAATATTATTGTTTTTAATGGCAAATATAATATTAACTTAGTACAGCATAATTTTTTCTTTTATATTTTTATAGAATTTTTTTTATACTTTCATAAAATATTATTGACATAGATATTTCTTTTAAACAAAATTATATACGTTTTTTTAAATAATTAAATTATGTTTTTATATGAAGAATAAATAATTTTATATATAAAAATCTTAATATAAAATTAACAAACAATTAATATTTCACAAAAGATATTTTATTTTAATGGATTATACTAATTTGTATCTCAACAATGTGATATTATTCATATCTATATGTTTCTTTATATTTCTTGTTTTCCTTTATTCTTTCGAGGCATGTAGTTTGTAAATGTTTCTTTAACGCGAGCTTTAACGGCTTTTTATGACTTCCTATTTTCTAATTTTTCTATAATTTGTGAAAACTAATAAACAGTTATTAAAAGTGACTAAATAGTTCAAAATCGAATCCGTAATTTACAAAAATCTCAAGTCCGTTTTTTTACAAAAACTGACTTGATGAAGAAACTCTTCATTTTAACTCAAAAATGAATACGCTAAAGAACATTATAAGATAAAATATGTTTTTCTATTTATTTCTTTACTTTTCTATCTATATTATGCTATATATTATCTTTATACTATATTTTTATTTATGGAGTTCTCTAATGTTTATATATAGTTTGTTCAGTATATTAAAGAATTTTCTTAAAAATGAAAAAATCAATAATTTTGTATAGTATCAAATATAGTATTAAATATTTTGAAGAACTACTCTGTCCAATATTATAATATTTGTAATATTTTTTTGTAACTTTTAAAAACTATGTAGTAATAACCGAAGATATGGAATAGGTGCTATGTCTACTACATGTATGTGAATACACCTTATGAAGTACTCCGGTAAGAAAAAAATATAAAGATATAAGTATAAAACATTATATTCTTTTTATATGTATTAGTTATATAACATATTATCTTTATTACATTAAATAATATTCTGTTACTTAAATATTTTTTTAACATTATTTATAAAAATGTCTTTGTAAATATATTATTCAAAACAGAATTAGAAAATTATTTTCTTTCTAATGTATATGTTCTTTAGGAGACATTTGAGTATTGAATATTCATTTCATATAAGAATTTATGTGAATATATAATTATAATATTAATTATATACATATGGTATATATGTAATATTTAAATTTATTTATAGGATTTTTTTTAATAATTCACTAATTATATATATGTATACACATACATATATTATAAATTATATATACATATATATTCGAGTATTGTATTTTTATAATGTTTACATTTATTATCTGTTTTAAAATTTACAGCAAGGTGTTCATAATTGACGAAAAAAAATCATTTAATAAAAACTTTGTAGGAGATCGATTAAATTTGATGTAATACAGGTAAGAAAATATATAGATATCATTGTTATGAAAATGAAGTATTATGAGAGGAAAAAAAAGGAAAAAAAGGGTATTTAAATATATGTGTTAATAGATAGATATAAATTTATTCAATAAATACAGAAAGTAAATCAGTATAAATAAAAATTATATTTTATAAATTTATTTTTAAAAAGTAATGATTTAGATACTGATGTATATTGTGATAATATTCAATATTAAATCAGTGACAGCATTTTACACATTTAAAAAAAAATCTTTGAATATATTTTATTAATTATATTTTGAAAATATATATATAAATTTTTTATTATAATCGAAATATTATAGATCTTTTAAATTATTGTTACAATAATTGTTACAATAATACATTTATAAACTTAATTTTACTTTCTGGATAGAGTATGTGTTAAACATACGAATATATTATGGATATAAAGTTGTTTGAACTACTTATAAATGTTTTTGTTAACGAAGAATGTTTTCATTTCTTTTATTGTTTATTGAATATGAATGTGTTCATTACATGTATCTGGAAATTTTTTACGTTTAACTTTTGAGATTATATATGAATTGAGCAATTAGGTAAGTATATTTATTTTAAATTACTTAATTTTTTTGTTTCCAGCTATACATGTGAATGTGTATTATGGATATAAAGTTATTTGAATGTATAGATGTATCTCCAGATAGTAAGCTGTCGTTATTCGTTGTCATTTTGACGTTAAAATAAAGTCACCTTTCTATCTGGATTATATAATACCTTATTTGGTTAATTATTAAATTTGAATCTATTTATTATCAATATCTAAAAATTTTTATATGCAGTTTTATGTTTAAAGAAATTTTATTTTTAGATTATTATATTATACTGAAGCAGCATTTAATATAAATTTCGATAGTTTTACAATTTTTTATTTTTCCAATTATAAATGTATATATCATAATAATATAAAATCTGTTATTTATGTGGCATGATAATTATTTTATTAAGTTTTTAAACAATGATATTGCAATAATAGTATTTTACTGTACATGTTGCTAACAACACATTAACACAGTGATTCTAGCTCATTCAAGTCAAGTATGTGTCGAAATGATCGAATAAATAATGATGATAATAAAAGATATAATCACGACAGGTTAGTATTTTCGCGTAGTATAATGCGAATTTTTTTCATTAATAAATTAGAAATTAATACATTGTCAAATCATAAGCGATAAATCTAAATTTTTATAATAAATGCTATTTGTATAAAATTTTATTATTTTCTAATTTTTAATTTAATCGTTGCACAATCAATAAAGTTTTATTATTATTATTGTATTATTTGAACTCTGGAGAAAATATCTGTCATAACTGAAAAATTATAAAGATCTCAACAATTTTAATAGATCTTTTTATTTCATAAAAAAGGATAATAACATAAAGTACATACTATATAATATTAGACATAAATAAAGTTAGAGGTTTTTACGTTCCAGAATTAGGCGACAAAGTTCAATAAGAAAAAGCGAGGAAAAAGATAAATGTAGAAACGAAAGGAGAAACAGAAGTTCATTACGTTATGATAGCGATAGTGCACCTTTCAGTAGAGATCGGTCGAAATCTCGTTACAGGTATAAAATAAAACTTTATAATTATTAAGGATATAAAGAAATGGAAACAAGAAAGTATAATTAGATCTAAGCAGTTTAAAGATAAAAGAAAATGTTAAATTCAGAAAAAGTTTTAATAAATATACATATGTTTAGAGAGTTACGCTTACAATGCATGGCATACTTGCTTGTATACATATGTATTATGAAATTTAAATTTTTTGGTGCTCATAAAGTTATTATAAAAAAATTATAATTTTAAATACAATATATAAAACTTATTATTATATAATGATTTCTTAATAATTTCATTACTATATAATGAAAATATAAAAATACTTTTTTCTATTTTTTAGAAGTCGTTTACCGAATAATGAACGAGGTAGAGAAAGGAGAGACAATAACGAAAGTAAATTTTCGTCTAGAAGAAATTCTGATCAATCACGCGACTTAGATAATCATGCGTCTTCGAAGTCACACTTTTCCTCGGATAACTTATATAACCCCTACATAGTAAGTTTAACTATTTTTAATGCTCAGAAAAGAAAATTAAAATAACACTACAAATAACATATTTTTGTTTCGATGTCAAAAAGAATATAAAATACATAAGATTAAACAATTATCTAAAGAAATATAGAGCAATTTATCATATATTTAAATAACTATTTCTACAAACTGATTTGTTTTAGCGTTTACCTGGACCTATGATGATCCCAATACCTCGAATACAGGCACCACCCATGCTTATGCCTGTCTTTCCAGTACTACCTCCACCATTTCCACCGACAAATATGTATCATTGGCAGCAACCTTTCAGTAAGCTTACATCATGTAATAATTAATATATGCATAGATTGATATACAAATGACAATACAAATGGATTTTACAGGATTTGTCAATGGCAGTCAAATTGGAATCCACAATAATCGATACAATGTCCAAAAACGCTTTTAACTTTAATAATACCTTTAACACGATGACTATTCAATATATTGATTAACAATTATGTGTTTTACCTAAATTTTAATTGTATTTTCACTAAAATAGCGCACATTATTTCAAATTTTATTATTAAAGATTTCTCTGTTTTTTATTGTGTTTAAATTTTTTAAATTTTCATTTTAATTTCTTTTTTAATATTTAAGATATTAAGATAAGAAATGATTGAAAATATGTTTTACTTAGAATAATATAATATATATGTTATTAAAAATTTATTTTATATAATAATCAGAGCAACTTTTGTATGTAAACGTAGCATAAATGAATATAATGAATAATTAAAATATGGATAAAATGAATCACCGTGTTTTCCTTTGTTTTTTCCAATTGTCTTTTATACATATAGCTTTGGCCCCTTGTGGGCTTATGTGAAATGTTGTCATCTACAGCGACGTTTCGTTCCGGCCCCCACTATTGGACTCGTCAGTAAGGCATCGTAGTGGGAGCCTGCCTCAGACGCCCGGGGGAGTCTTAGATCGAGGTTCTATACGAAAGGCCTTCTATTATATTAATTTTTGTCGCAATTTGAACCCGCAGAATTAAAATATTAAGAATTTTTTATTTCACAATTCATAGAATTTTAATTTTAAATCTTTATTATATTATCTAGTTTATCGATTTTTAAAAATTAAAATTTTATGATTTATGATTTTTTAATCTTAAAGTTGTAAAAATTAATTCTTGGAAATTTAATTATCACTTTGTTCTTTGATATATATTTTTAATTATATATTAATTTAATGATATATATTTTTTGAGAATTCGATTTGATTCGATTTTTTTTTGTGATTTGTAAAATACCGATGATCGATAAATTCACGATATCAATAACAGTGATGTCGACACGTCAAAAAGCGAATGAGGTAAACAATAATAATATAAGCAATATAAATAGCGCGAATACAGTGTTTGCATCCTCAATAGGTGCAATCATTGTTCCATAAGATTCAATACAATGTAATAAAAAATACACTTGCACTGTGTTTTCGTTTAGTTAGTCTTTATTATAGTTTCTTGAATGTTAACAAATATCGGTCACAATGTCCTAACCACGCATTACTAGTTAATTTGTTCGCATTGACACGACATACTTTGTGTTACGACGATTTCACGCCGATTGCGACGGATAACGTTCGCTTGTAAATTGTGATCACTAATATCGACAGCGCCTAGGGGACAACGCCCTGAGTCGATTAATGAACACGTTAGGGGCTGTTACCCAGATATAATGTATATTTGGCACGGAAATCGCGACGACGCCTAGAGAGAAAACCTCTTGAGTCGCAATCCGCTTTAGTGATACAGCTCGAAGTCAACACGATAGAAATGAAACTCGCAGTGGCACCAGTGTCTAACAAAGCGCGGTACTTGATTAAATTGTTCTCACGGTCTTTAATGTATACCAACGCGCTGGTTAACAATTTTATTCTGGCGTGAACACGGAAGAGACCGATGCGAGGCTCATGTTCTTCTCGCCGGCGGCAAGTGCTAGTCAGTGCTAGTCAATCTCTCTGAGTTGTTTCAGGTTTCGCAATATTGGATTTGGAAGTGGTGGGGTAATTCTCGAGGTGCAAGAGGGTGTTATGTCGCTTTTGGCAAATTGTGCAGTTCGAAAACTTACAAGGATAGTCGCGATGTGAACGCAAGCAATTATAACAGACCTTCGCGGCCTTAATCAGTTCGATACGCTTAGGTATAGGCAGTTTCTTAAATTTGTCGCACATATACAAAGGGTGGCGTTTAGCCTTGCACGCTATACAGCTCCGCGACGCATTCAGTAAGAACGCCCGATTAGACGAGAAACGTCCTCCCTCTTTTTGATGGTTCACCTGTCTCTTTCTCTGAATCTGCGATCTTTGATCGTTTGCGTTTGACGCACGCATGGCGGATTTGTACAAAAATTCATAGATCTGATCAGGCTCAGGAAATTCATTTCTATCAAGGTTCGCCTCCCACCTATCTATAGCAGTCTTCGGTAATTTACTTTCTAAAATGTGTACGATTATTTCGGGGGTGACGGAGACCCCCAACGCTTTCAAGGACGCGACGTGTTTTTGGGCATCATTCGCGAGTTTAGACAGACCGGCGGCGGTTTCCTTTTCTAACGTCTTCATATTCATAATCAATGAAAGATGCAGCGAGATTAAAATTCTCTTAACTTCGTAGGACCGTTCAAGCAATTCCCAAGCCTTGAAGTAGTCTATTCCGTCAGTTGCGAAGATCTTTGTTTTATTAGCGGCCTCCCCGACTAGAGCTGATTTAAGACAATACAATTTGTCAACGTCGGACAGATCAGTTCTCGAATCTACCATGTTACGAAACGCGTTTTTAAATAACAGCCAATTTTCGAAACTGCCATCAAAGGTGGGCAAAGATTCCTCGGGTAGTTCTAAACGCCGAGATTTTACAATCATACGATCCTCTGTTTGATCCTCTTGTGCTTCGCCGTTTGTCATGTCTCTCGTCGGCGTGTTTGCCGCGTTTAAGATGGTTTCGATTTTACTCGCGAGATCATAAAATCTTTCCTGAATAATTACAAGCTCCTCAAGATGCGCATCGTTCGGATTTAAAATCACGAGTTCGTCATTACATTCTTCATACGTATTGTATAAGTGTGTTAACCGTGTGATCCATAGTTTTAATGCTGCGTTATTAAGACTGCCTTTGTCGAGAGCATTTGATAAATTAGTAATTTGAGATTTGAGAGAAGTTCTCCTTTGGACCAAAAGTTTGACTCTATCAGCCATTATTGTGTACTTGATGTCAGATTGATAACGAAAGACTTACTTTGGTCAGCTACCAAATGTTTAGTAACCAATAATTACGATCGTAAGGCTAATATTAAAGATGTGACTTGGTGTATACGAGGCCTTCGAGTATCGCTTCTCTGATGGACGATGGATCGTCAAATTAGCTTCTGATGCTCGAGATGAACCAGTGATCTCTGAGTGGTCCAGCCGTATAAATGATCCGTACCTCACAGGGGGCACCAAAATGTTCCATAGGATTCAGCACAATGTAATAAAAAAATACACTTGCACTGTGTTTTCGTTTAGTCAGTTTTTATTAGTTTCTCGAATGTTAACAAATATCGGTCACAATGTCCTAACCACGCATTACTAGTTAATTTGTTCGCATTGACACGACACACTTTGTGTTACGACGAAGAATGTTCACTTTGTATTTCACGCCGCTGTTGCGACGGATAATGTTCGCTTATAAATTGTGATCACTAATATCGACAGCGCCTAGGGGACAACGCCCTGAGTCGATTAATGAACACGTTAAGGGCTGTTACCCAGATATAATGTATATTTGGCACGGAAATCGCGACGACGGTCGACGCCTAGAGAGAAAATCTCTTGAGTCGTAATCGGCTTCAGTGACACAGCTCGAAGTCGACGATAGAAGTACACTCGATGATGGTCGCGAGAGAAGTAAGGACGCGGTGCGGGTTCATGAGGAATTGAGGATCGCGACGCGATGGAAGGGAACGCACCCCCAATCGAATCCGGGCCCTAAAGGTGCTTTTTCATGCGCAGCACGCTGCAGCAGCAATTCGTTACTATTGGTTAAGGATTTTATGTAAGCTAGATGACGCACTTCCGGCGCAAAATAATGTATTTTTCACTGAGCGCTCAGTGAGCTCTTTCATCTGATTGGCATATTCTATTAGATTCTAAAATATAAACCAATCAGATAAATCAGCTCAATGAGCAGATATTGGCTGTTTTCCAGCTAGGACACAGAAACGTTACACTGTGCTCCACTGTGTAAAGACTTGTTGGAACGATAGAGCTCTAATTGGTAACACTGGCATACTCTACACGTTCGTACTTAGCTTTTTACAGTGTCGAGCAGTGTAACACTGTGTCACAGTTGGAACACTTTGTGTAAGACACAGTGTTACACTGTGTCATCTGTGTACGTTGTTGGAAAACACCCATTGAGTGCATTCAGTTCAGAAGCACGACCGCTCATGAGCGGTATTCATAGTCAGTTCTTGGTAATTATACAGAATACACCCACCATCTCCGATTTCGATTAAATTAGGCTCATTCGACGCGTTTTTGCACGAAACGAAAGAAAAAAGGCAGTTCTTATATTCAAGACCGTCTTAAGTTCAGTCTTGAAGAATTAAGAACTAATTAGAGGGCCGCTTTAGCATCTTAAAGGTACTTTTTCATGCGCAGCACGCTGCAGCAGCAATTCGTTACTATTGGTTAAGAATTTTATGTAAACTTGATGACGTACTTGCGGCGCAAATACATTTTGCCGCAGTTCGTTGAAGTTGAACCGAACGAACAGCAAGCAGCAAGCGGCAAAATCGAGAAAGCGTACAATATGTCCGTCGTTTCATTATGAAAATATTATTTATTGCAATAAATATTAGGAAAATAAACGAAAAATAGCTTCGGATAAGGTACGGATACATGTTTGTAAATTAGATCATTTTATACTTTACCACAAATT